GATAATTTGACAGGAGCAGCTTTGCACATTTACAGAATCTACACTGTTTTGATTTAACGTACAGTGGTTTACCTTTAGCCTGGAATCGCCACACCAATTTGCATTTGCAAAAATGGCTCATGTCACACAACTGGTTAGTCAATCAAAGTATTTGTGGTGAATAATAACTAAGATGTCGTGCATTTGACTGGTTAATGTTTTGCGACATGAAATTTGAATGTATGTGTGACTGTGTCAAATGTGATTGTAGTTGTCCACTGTTACTGGACAGATGTTACGGATGTTGCACTTTATATAGATTGTTATGAGGGAAATTGTGATTTGTGGATCTGGGCAACAGAAATTAAATTTGATTGATGTCCTACTAATAACACAACACAAAATAAAATGTGAGAATTTAGAAATTCCAGTTATCGATAAATCAGCCTCTTGATTCTTGTTGTTCTGGGTTTGTACCCTCATGGTTGAATGCACTTATTTTCGCTTTGAATAAAAGCGTCAGCTAAATGAAATGTAATGTGATGTAAAAGCCTGGGTACAGTGGTTTGGCCAACAATAGCCAAGTTAGCTAAGCTCTTATTAGTTTTGGGTATATCAACAGGTCTGAAATGACAGGTTAACAGTATATGATACATATGACGCTGTTTAATGCTAATATAGTCAATAAAGGCACTGGCATCAAATTTGTATATGCATTGGCAGAAAGTGACAGTTTGACAGTGGCCAACATTTTTAAGGAGGTTTTAAAGAGGCTCCTGCTGTCAGTATGTGGAACTTGTGCAGCACACAACACACTGCAGATGCTGCGCAAGCACTTGTGACAGATCATCAGCTAATTCTTCTTTTACAACAAACTTAGATGTGACATAGTGCAGAACTCAGAGAAGATTTTAAACAGACCTCAAAGTGCAGCAGTTGGTTGGTATATTTTTCTAGAATATCTACCCTCCTGCTTGTGTAATATCAATTTTTATGGTTGTGACCAGTTTCAGGACAAATGGAAATCAATGTGGATCAGGGGGATGGGGTTGGGATACCATCTGTGAGAGCCATTTGTCCTCCCTCACAGTTTGGTCTACTGTCGTCAGTTTATTCTACTGATCCCTAAAAAAGCTGCTCTATGTGCATGTGTAATCATTGTGTTTGCACATGCCTGTGTGTTTGTGCAGATACTATTGTGGGCATTTTTGTGTGTTAAAGTGCTCAGTGTAGCTGCCACCACCCAGCTTCCCCTGCTTAAATATCATGGTATTTATGTCTCAGTGAACCATTTGTGTTCATTAGAGAAATGGTCAAGTTTTATGTGTGTGTGTGTGTTTGTGTGTGTGACTGTTTAAACACACAGGGAGTAGAGCAGAGCCTCATTTGCGAGCTTGACTATTTGTCACGGTGCAGGTAAACGCCCACATTATTGATCTGATCAGTCGGGTCAGTGAATGGACATAAGGAACCATAAAAGGTCCATCACGGAAAAGGTTCAGCTTTGGGATTCACAATGAAAGCAACAAGATCACTGACCCTTTCAAAAATCCAATAAAGATGAAATTGTCTCTGCAATTATTGGCTGGTATCATTATGTGTCAGGAGCAGCTTGTGCAAGGCCTCATCCATTTAAATTGGAACAGATGATTAAAGCAGTAATGAAAAATGTATTTACATTTTTTAGCAGACCCATCACTTGCTCCGCATGCTGGCTTGTCCACATTCTCTCTAGACGCAAATGTTCCAGAGACTTAATGATGACATATTTTAACACAAACATGTTGTTGTTGTGACTGTATAAAAAATGACTGACAACATAGTAATATTAATATATGCTGGCTCTGCAGCGGCTCTGCTGACACTGCATGGCTCTGCTTGTATGATGATTTTCATAGAAAAATAATCCCATCATGTTCCACCCTGGACTTTTGAAATGCATCCCAAAATCCAACACTTTGCTCATTTACCACAGGAGAACTGTGTAAACATGAGTGAATCAATGGGTCTATTTACAACTGACATTAATGTGTTGTGAGGGCTGGGATTGCGTAGAGTCTACATATAAAGCCAAGTGTGTGTGTATACAGAAGAGCCAATTAACCAAATAACCTCTGGGGGTGCATTGAAAAAGCAAACTCTACACATGGTTCACCTTTAACTATGTGTATGAGACCAACACAAAATGAATGAACCGGTAAGATGCAGCTCAAACAGTAACACTGTAAGACCATAACTCACCGAACATTACCATCCCCCGACCCTCACAAGACAAGACAATGAGAAAGAACAGTGAACAGGGATCATCAGGTGTCAAATCCTGACCTTTATCAATAAAAGCAAATGGTTTCAACTTACTTTTCTTCTGCAAACTGTAAAAAAAAAGAAAGCTTTATTATATAAATTATAATTGACTAATACAAAATGCATAAAATATGTCTTGTCACTTGCCAGCGGCATTACCTCTTCATCACAGAAGCACAATAAATCATGGTATAGATTAACCTGAGAAGGATCCACCCATTGGCGGCATCATTTTTCAGGCATGGAAGAACACGTTTGTTGAGGCTTTTACAAAATTGATTTGTCGCTGTAATAGATAGATAGATAGATAGATAGAGTACTTTATTCATCCCCGGAGGGAAATTAAGGTGTCATAGCAGCTTGTGTATCGGAACACAACAAAACACAATGCAATAGAACAAAACAAAACAAAACATTTAGGTAAAAAGAACAGAAACAGAAACACAAGATGAATAGGCAGACAAGTAGTGCAGTGGCAATATGATGATAATAGTAATAATGATATGATGGTAATGCAAACAGTCTTCAAATGAAGCCCCCAACGGATGCAATGCTTGAACTAAGACACAGCTAAAGGCATTCATGGATGAAGCCATGATAACACCATGGACTATAAATATATAGATAAATTCCAGACCACCAGGTGGCGGTGTGCAGATGACTGTACAGTGATAACGGTGTAAAAACCGAACAACACAACAGCAGTGAACATGGAGGAGATTCAGATTGTGCTATGTGTATAAATGTGAATAAGCACTATTCAGCACACACACGCCACCTATCTCTCAGGTGCTCCTCCAATTTCCCTGTTAAAGATACAGGTCAAATTTAATAGTGCACACACTTGTAACACTATATATAATGTGTGTCCCATCTTTGTCATGACCCAAGAGCCAGGTTGTGACACTACCTTTTCTTTGTTAAGCATTATGCATGAAGCATTGTTGTTCTCTGTGTTGTGAATGTAGATCATGGAGTGTAATAAGTCAGTCAACCAGTCAATCTCTTCACTCATCTCTGAGCAGCTTGTGCTGCTCGGTGCGACAATGGCCATTGTGGATCTGGCCATAGTTTTTGGTAAGTTACGAAAACCTTTCATCATTTCAGTTATTAAACAAATGTTATTTTAAAAATGTCTCTTTTACCTGCATTTCTCTTAATGTTTGTTTTCTTGTTTTAAGGTAACATCCTGGTGATTACGGCCATCCTGCGGTTCCAGCGACTTCAGACTGTCACCAACCTCTTCATTGCCTCTCTGGCTGTCGCTGACCTCATCATGGGCTTGGTTGTGGTGCCCTTTGATTCCAGTCACATCCTGCTGGAGACCTGGCCGTTTGGAAACCCTATGTGTACACTTTGGATGGCGACAGACGTGCTGTGTGTGACAGCCAGTATTGAAACACTGTGTGTGATTGCTCTGGACCGCTACCTTGCAATTACCTTGCCACTACGTTACCCAGTGCTGGTCACCAGGTATGACCAAGAAGTTGACATATTGTTGTGGTTGTGTTGCAAAGAGTCAATATACTTCTTACTTAATGTGTAATATTGGAATTTCTTTTCTCCCTCTGACAGGGGTCGGGCCTTGGCGGCAATCCTCCTTGTGTGGGTAGTGGCCTCCCTCATCTCCTTCCTGCCCATCCATCAGGAGTGGTGGGTGTCAAAGGAGGATGCAGCTCTGAAGTGCTTAGACAAAGAGTGCTGCTGCGACTTCAACACCAACACGGCGTACGCTGTCTCGTCCTCAATTGTGTCATTCTACCTGCCACTGTTTGTGATGATTTTCTTGTATACTCGGGTGTTCCAGGAGGCCCAGAAACAGCTGGAAAAGATCAGGGGGAGGGAAAGGCACTTCCACAACTTGCATTACACCGCACATGTGGCTTATCCCAATGAGAGTCCTGCAATGAATAAACTCAGGGTGGGAACTGTGGTGGGGGAACAAGCAGGAGAGGACAGCCAAAACATGCAGAAACCAGGAGGTGTGGACACTGGTAAAGAAGAAAAGGAAGGGGAGAATAGAGCAGGGACAGAAAAAGCAGAAACAAAGCACTCTGTCACAAAACGTCTAAAGTTCTGTCTTAAGGAGCACAAAGCTGTAAAAACTCTGGGGATTATCATGGGAACATTCACACTGTGTTGGCTACCCTTCTTCATCCTTAACATCCTCAATACCTTCTTTCAATGGAATAACATTAAGCTGCCCTTCAAACTCCTCAACTGGCTTGGATACTCCAACTCAGCCTTCAACCCGCTCATCTACTGCCGAAGCCCGGACTTCAGATACGCCTTCCAGGAAATACTCTGTTTGAGGGGAAAGAATGGAAGCAGGAGAGGGAGGAGAGGATGGGGATGGAGCAGAGAGAGAGATTGCTTCTCGAAGGCCTCAAGTAGGACGAATGGGAACTCGGACCTGAATGGTGCGAGAGGGCTGGACGTTCACCAAAGGTCAGGATGGGAGGGCAGTCTGGAGAGCTCTGTACGAGACAGCCCGCTCACTCTGACCTCTTGCTGTGAGCAGGTTTTAGAAGTCGCTCCAGGATCTCTGACGAACCAACAGGCTAACGGCTCTGCTAATGGGAGCTGTAAGGACAATCTGGCTTCTATTGCTTGACCAAATAGAATTTTCCCATTGAGCACTAAACACCAAGTCAATGAAGCTTACAATGTTTATGTTGGGAAATACCCTGTTGAGTTTGTTTGTGTCAATGTTACTGGGTTTTACTTGTCTTCACTGTTCATCTTTGCTGCTTCAGTTTTCCTTATAATATTGTAGATCACCACTACAGAGGCAACCATTTCTATAAAGAGCTTATGCATATTCACATGCAGAGGGACAAGATTATGCGGAAGGAAGCCCTCTGGTTTTTGTTTCTAGTTTGACCAATCATATTTGAGTAAGTTTTGGTTGCCCGCAGGTAAACAGGCTGTGTGAAGAGCAACTAACCGAAACATATCGGCTATCACTTTTAAAATGTATCTGCATTCATATGCTGATAGATGTTAATAGAGATTAGCCAAAAACACTAAAACACCTACAAAAGTTTTTGCAGTTTGTGTTTTCTGTAGAGAAAACATTTGATGAGAGAAACTAGTTGGACTTTTAACAACGTACAATAAACAGAAGATAGACTCTTGGCCCGAATATCAGCTGTCTACACCGGTAGCCCAAAAATATTTGAATGGGCTCTGAGGTGGCGAAGGCAACTACTCAGGTAAGCCAAGCTGAAAAATGCTCAGACTTAAACTTTCAAGGCATCTTACAGAAAGAAAGTGTATGTGAAACCAAACATTAGGAGCTTCACCAAACAGGTTTATCATTGGAAGATGTTTCATTTGAAGCATCTTTATTGTCCCATTCAGGGAAATTGATTTGCAGCAAGGAACAAACACACACACACACACACACA